TTGTTAATGCGCTTTTCAAATCTTGGGTCCACCATTGCGCGTATCGCAGCATTAAGGCTCAAAGGAAAGACCTCATACGGTTGGCAGTGAAGGAGAAAATTAATTTGCTACATTTTCTGGAAAGCCAAAGAAAGGAGCCAGAACATCTGTGTGACAGTAATACAAAAGTTAGAAAAAGCGGACAGCGAAGACACGAGTAGTTTCAGAGATAACATAATGTGCTTGCTGTGATGTAGGAGCTCAGTGGATCTATTCGAAACAAGGTGTACGTGAAAACAAATTTCATGTTACACATGCTACTTACAAAGGGAAAGTAAGAGGGACAAAGTTTTGTATAGAACCTCCATATGTTGACCACTTCTCTATGTCGACCATCTTGGTCCAGTCCCATTGAGTGGTCAACTTACAGAGGTGCTACTGTATGAAAAACGGTCATACTGGCACTGCGAGACTGTACGAAAGGCAGCAACCACTCTATCAGCTGCGGAGCAGCAAGTGCGCTGGAACTGATGGGAAATCGCCAAAGCTATTGAAAAACTGCGGACCCAGTATTCAACATGCCAGTGTGCTACTAATGTACAAAGGAGCAAGCAAAGTGATAGCATTTATCGTGTGTGGGGTAAGTGATCGCACGAGTCCTGCTCAATCGCCTCGTCACTCAGGTCGTTGAACTGAACGTGATGAAACAGTGATGCGGATTCCATTCGGGCCGCAGCACCATGAGTGTAGTGTTCGCGGCTCGCCAGAAACGCAGATGGCGACCCCAGCCATTGTGCTTGCTGTTTGTTGACTTCACCAAAGCATTTCACACCGTGAATCGCGAGAAAATATGGCTGATGTTGGGTAAATTTGGTTGTCCGATAAAGTTTGTAAGTCTAATTGTATATCTGCACAGCAGTATGCGGGCAGGGGGTAGCTCGGTGGACGAACCTCCGATGACTGGTGTTATCTCTGGTGAGAAGCAAGGCTGTGTCATAGCCCATGCCCTGCTTGACATCTACGTAACTGTCGTGATGTCTAGCGCTTTCTACGCTTGTGAGTACGGAGTCCGTCTCAAGCACTGTATCGATGGTGGGTTACTGAGCATCCGCCGTTTCGGGGCGAGAAACCGAGTGCGTGAGACAAACTTCCGCAGGTTGCTGTTTGCCGAGGATTGTGTTTTGTTTGCACAAAGCGCGGATGAGTTGCACCCATGACTTCAACGTTAGCTTTGAACAGCGACCGAATGCGGACTAAGCAACAACACAAGACCGTTTTTTTCAGCCATCACCAGGAGTTGAATCTGTGGGCAGCCCGTAAATCAAAATTGCTGATAAAGTTTCTCCACGGGAGCGTACTGTCAACCGAGTTGTGGATGACTAGTGAGCTGAACATTCGCGTATCAGAGACGAGTACTGTATAAAGCAAGCTAGAACATCGTGTGTGGAGGAATCACTAGCTGACCGTTGTGACCAAGCTGATGGTGTAGTCAAATTTAAGTAAAAATAGGCTATTATGTAACCAAGCGGGTATCTTTTTGGCCTTCTACACTGCCACTGCGAATGGACGAATAAATGAAATTAGTGTATAAAAACAAATATAATGCCTAAGACAACATGTGTAGGCGTATCATCCAAGCTAGACCAACAAGTAATCGTGCCAGGTACGGTAGGAGAGAATTGCAGGTAAGAAGCAGTATGAGAAAATAAGACTAATTTGGGTATATATATATATATATATACATATATATATATATATATATATATATACAATATAGTTGGAGGGTATAGGAATTTTTCGATATATAGTAAGGGAAAGAGTCGCTCCTTGTAAAACACCACGATCAGAGCAAAGTTTAGAGGACTTTGCTCCGTTGATCTGAGTGAAGTGAGTACGGCTTGTAAAGTAGTCTGTAATAACGCGACAGTCAATTTTGGGAATCACACACGTGACCAGCGGGTTGAGCAGGAGTGGCCTGTTGACGCTCCCGAAGGCATTTGAGAAATCAAGAAACAGCAGGCCATTGTTCTGCATTTTTCATCTAGTGCAGATGATATCGAATGTACAAGATATGGTACAGTATCCAGTGTTGAGCTGTTTAGTAAATAGGCAAACTGGTATACATCGTCTATCTGGGTGCGTGGGAAGAGCCGAAAGACGAGTAGTTTCTCGAAGACCAACAACATCACTGAGGTACGTGCAATCGGACGACAGCATTGAGCTCCCTACTTGAGCATAGGCGTTCTCTTAACAGGTCTCAAAATGTCAGGGATTGTACCACTAATAAGACAGCGGTAGAACAGAACGGTTATGGGTACCGCAAGATGATCCGCGCACTCCTCTGGAACGAGTGGGGATAAAACATCAGGTCCAGAAGTCTTGGATATCTTTAGTGTTTTAAGTCCCCTGTAGACATCGGGACGATCAAGGGTGATTTCGTAAACTTTACCCTTCTAAAAGCGTTGGAAACCGTGGACCCGGTTCTCTCTCAGCTGCTGCACCGAAGTCTCCTCAGAATGCCGTTCAACGGTCTCTTCGATGCGCTGCAGGACATCGGGAGTCAGCTTCTCACTGCTGTTTCCACAACAATTGAGCTGAGTAATGGCACCTTCCGATTTACATGTATTGTTGATGTTTCTTACCATGCTCTCCTTGACACCAGCGGCTTCAGACGTTTCGTAGGTGGTTTTGCCGTCGACAAATGCAAGCTCGGCAAGTATTTCTTTCTGTGCCCATGACGTTCGTTCTCGTTGTTCGTCACACAAATTTTGTCGCTTCGTGCAGCCTAAGGCTAATAAAGCGAGGCTGTGGTTGCTAGTCATACCAGCCCAGACTGTTCCAATCGTCGTACAGTTGAGTAGGTTCGCCCACACACCCATACAAAACACGTGAATGTCTAAAGAGAGACAGGGGAAAACTGGTTCACTGCGGATAGGAGGAAATAATCTGGCAGACAAACAAGGCGTGAGCACAAGCAAAACGAGTGCACCAACGAAAAACGCGGAGAGATGACTGCGGATGGACTGGTAACGCGTACAGTTGACTACAAACGTATAGTTCGAATGAACTAAGGAGAGCCAAATAGAACAGTCGCGAAGGTGGCAAACAAGAAGGTTCTACGGTCTGTCGAAAAGATATAAACATCAACAAGGCGTGTTTGGGGCTGTGATGAAAATAACCGAGTAAGTTAATACATTAAATGAAAAAATAATTTCTTTAGCTATCGAACATTCGGGCACACTTCCGAGGCAGACTACACTGTCAAGAATGCCATATCGCGGCCTATACTTCATGAGGCGGCATATCAGCCGTACTCCGGAATCAATAACGACTCCCAAATTTTGATCCATGATATCTCAAGTTGGTAGGTTAACTACAATGACAGCACTTTCAGACGGGTCGATGCTTTTTCACTTCCTTGTGTTTTGACGTCTCGAGTGCTTTGGTAGTAAAACAACCGGACTGGGTTACACCTCAGTGGTCTGGACTCTGATGTCATCGAATCCGCCGAACTTCTAATACTATGATACCCGCAATCAGCCGACATGGTGCCAAGCCATCCACGGGGTAGGATTGCATTACAGATCAGTTGGTTTAAAGTAAATTAAATTGAAGTTGGACACGGGACTTCAAGCTACAAAAGCAGAAACATATGTTTGACATTCAGTCAAAGTCGCTTGCATAATCAGTTCTTAAGGAATATGACGCCTACAGCTTTAAATGTGCCGACAACGGATTAGCGGTTGAGCTGACTGCTTCCTGAGTACTGCGAAAGAAGATAGCAAACCGACAATATCACACGTGTTGCATAAAATAAGTAGTCCAACAGCTCTAGTCTTACTTATTTCAACCGGAGTGCGGCGGGTTCTCACTTCAGTGAATAGGTCTCATTAGAACCTAACTGACACGGACAGTGTCAGCGGTGTCGACTAACTGGGTTGTCATTATTGATGAACTAAAGGAAGTCCAACTGCCATTGCAAGCCATAAAGCGTCCTCGTTAGATAGGGGATACTAGGGACGCCACTGCAATCAGCCGAACTCCTAATATGTAGAAAGTTTACTTCAGACCATTTGATAACCAAATGGACATCCTTGTAAACTGGAGTTATGAAGCTGTCTTGTCCCAAAACGTCATCTCCGGAACTCTCCACTTCAAATGCATTCCCAGTGATTGAAATGGCATAGTTTTGCTTCAAAGCAAAATGTAGCCTCAATCAAAATTGCGTGTCGCAATCCAGACACACGGCGAGCACTCCAAGATGCAGCAATATCCTTACAAGCTACACGCGCACAGATCCCATAATAACATTGATGCTACTTGTCTCCGCAATTAAATACAACCAGATATGCGCGATGAAGAATCTTCCAGTGACTCTTGTTAGCAAGAGCAGTAGGCTTCTATGAGACTGAATGATGGAACCACGACTACATCTGAGTAATCACGCATTCATCACGTTTATGGTTGTAATGCGTGTACTCCTATCTAGGAAATTACTCCTTAGTTCCGCTAGTTCGGACAGCACTAGGTAATTGTATGACTAACACTGTGGGCATCGTTACTATGTGAAAAGTAAACCTCCGTCCGGAGACTGAACTCACTCGCCCTTGTTTTGTGGAAGTCCTGGAGTTTCGACAAAACACACATGCTCCACAACCCCATCTCTAGTTGCGTAGTAGGGTCCGTAACTCATGTGTAATGTGCCATCACCAAATCGAGGTCAAAAGCACACTGGCACGTGTACCATGTCAAAGCGATCGGCGTTCGTAACGCGTCTCTTTGACTATAAAACGCAGCAGAGGCTTAAAAGTGGGTGAATAAAGAACCAAGCAACGCGGATTGTGGAAACAATTCAACGTCCGCGTAAGTAACAGTCGTGACAGCACTAACGACTGTTTCGACACAAAAATGACAAGATCCGACAAAATGTATGAGATTTCTAAGTAGCCTGCAGTTAAAGCAGCCACAGTAGAACGAGTGGAGAGTATTAAGTCACTTCTGTATTGATAAAAAGAGTAGTTACACAAAAGACAACTAAAGGTATCAAAAGAGGAAGAAGGAACGATAAAGTAACAGGACAGCGGATATCAAAATGTAAGGTGACAGTGTCATTCATTCCTTGTGATCAGGCATCGGACCAGGATCGTCCGGTGAGGGGCCGGAGCCACCGGCGAGATCATAAGTGGCCAGTGCCACCTTTAGTGCGAGCCAATCGGCCCAGAGTTGGGACGAAGATTCGGCGTAGACTCGAACAATAGGCTCTGTTCCAGAAGGTCGCACAAATGCACGTGAACTACCCGGAGACTTCGTGGACTGATCCACCAGAGCGACAAGCCCATCGATGGCGTCCTGAAAAAAAACGGATACACCGATACAACTGATGGAAATGATAGGGAACAATAGATGAAAAGCCACAAAGTGTGTGGGCTGAGCCATGAACTATGTGCAGTATCACTAGAGAGCGCTGGATGCACGATAGTGTTGACAGAAAGTGCAGCTGTCAATTCCCATACGATCGCCGCTGTTAGGCAGACCAATTGGCTATATTTTACTTCGCCTTAGTAGATAGGATTGAGAGAAGTAAAACAACAAGAGCCGAAAATAAAAGTCGGAGATAGAATGAGGACGTCATCGATGCACGATATATTGCGTCGGGCACGAGTACTTGTAGTAGAAATTGACCATCGGATCACGATGGTTTAGAAGTAACTCTGTCTGCCGAAACCCTCTATTAAGTGGGTAACAGATAACAAAACGAAGAGCATTGGTAAGACTTGATCCCTCGGCGACTCTCATCGCGCTGTTGTGATATTTCGTCGCCTGCTTGTCTAGAGGTTTAGCCCAGCCAAGTGGGCTCACAATAAATAATAAACAGATGTATACAAGATACAGACAGGTATCAAACGCGAGAATTCTAACCAGTGTAGGGTCATCGGACAGTATGAGAAAGACAGAGAGGACAGTTACCAGAAATATTCGTGAGAACCGAAAAAGTAACCACCCGCTGATCAGTTTAGATGGCAGCGATGCTTAACCGCCGCAGTGAAGCACAAGGATAAAATCTGCGGTTCGCAGAGGTCCACAACCGTTATGTTGCAGCGTGTTACATTTTATATATGGTCAATAGAGCTTTGCGAGAGACACCAGAACGACGGAATGTCGTATTTAGAATAAACTGCGCAAACTGTGAAAAGTACTATGTGGGACAAACAGGAAGGAAGCGGTCCACTAGGATACATGAACACCAAAGAGCGTGCAAGAACCATTACGCAACCTCATTCGTTTCAGCACACGTGGATGAAGAGGGACACAGATTCGACTGGAACAAGGTAGAGATCTTGACGGAAGGAGAAACACAAAAAGGGAGGGAGTTTCTCGAAGCCTGGTTCTCAACCACGGACTCAATCTACATGCACATGGACCTTGATCAATATATCATCCGCTGAGACAGAGAGAGTTCAAGAGGATCAACAGCCGTTGACCGAAAGAACCTAATCCAACACACGGACGATAAACAGCATGGCTAATATGAGCCCAGACTACTCACCCATACCTGTTGCACCAATCCGAGTGCGATAATCCCAACCACGTCGCAACAACATTTCTGCAGCCAATGACAATGACTCGAGCACAACCGCTGAACACAAGGATTCACCAATGAGAACGAGGCAAAATTAATAGCCCCGTATGCCTATATAAGGAACGGAGTGGTTGCTGACAGTATACATTATTGGGTTTGCTTTCTACCAGCTACTGCTACTTACCTGCTATTAATCCCGCACTGAAGATGCCACCTCGAATGGTGGCGAAACGTATGCAACCAAGTTGCCCAGCTCGGAGAACGCCACAACAACTGAGAGCTTTGCATCTGATGACATGACAATGTAGGTAGATAGACTAACGGATCATGTTGAACGGCTCTTATCGGGAGGTGATGAGTAGTAATGAATCGGTAGGGTCCGATACGCTGCCGGTGCATATGATGCGGTGTCGTCTGAGACGGAGGATGAGGCATTACAGAGGTCCGAGTTCATTGACTCAATCAATACTGACTAGTGCACCCGGGCTAAACTGTCAGAATCTACGCACTGTATGTATGGATGACGGTAACATTGTCCCCATGGCTTGCGATCGCAACGAAACACGAATCCTTGACACCGAATGGTAAAAAGATGCCGAACACGAACGGTGCCCCACGTAAAGCGGTAAGATGAAAAGGGAGTAGCACCATTCTGATCTGCATGGGATCCGGTGCGACGAAACATGATCAGAAGCAAAAGGAAAGAGCACTGGCCAGATCTGTGCCATGCGATTACGAGTTGACTAAACAACTCGTAAAATACGCGCACGTTTTGGGCTGATATTCGAGCTAAATCTATCCAAGCGAGAAAGTGCTTAGCGCTTGACAAATAGCAATGATCCACGTAACATAAGCACATCGGTGGCGATTTATTCGTGTTTCACTTGATCGATGCAATATGGTAAATAGAGGAGATAGAGATTCTGACAGACTGACATCAAGATCAATCCCGGTTATAAAAGCTCAGTATGTGACAAATCACAAATGTATCACGCTACCTAGACGCAGCCATCAACGCAAGATATGGATCAGTAAAAGTGAGGGGTAAAGAGCAAGTTGACCACATCTATACTCACAACATCGCCATAGTTACAAACAGCCTATCATGGAGTCTGCGAAGTGCGGTCGCTTCCTTCACGTCAACCGACCACGAAAGTTGCATTGGTTGTAGCAGTTTCTTATGAACACATAGGCCGGGGTTCGTTATTCGTATGCGTCTGCTTCCGCAGTGCCATAGCGACAAAACTGGACCTTGACGTGGTTCGATGGTTTGTGTGCCTCAGCGATCCAATGGGCTATGCTGGGTGGTGCTGCTCACACTTTCAGTCACTCACACCAGATTGATCAATGGTTAGAGGTCTAACAAACCGTCTCCTTACCCTCCAGGTAGGTGGATAGAGTGAGGGTGGCTCCTCACTCCATAAAACGGGTTCTCTGTAACCCGATTGCAAAAACCCGCTGACTTCCGATCAGGTTTTCGAACCAAATGTATTAGTTGAGAACCATAATCATTCTCCTGTCTAAGAATAGGCAACCTGACAGTGTCCTGCCCACACAAGGCAACTGAACGACTTTCCCTTTAAACAATTTCTTGATGCTCTGGTCGTCGCAAAGGACAATCAACGGCGCTCTATCTGCTGCATCGAGCAGGGTGGATAGGGGTTTGGATGCTACTGCTCAAGCCTTCTCGTCTTCTTATTCCCCTTCTCGCGCTTTTTCATCCTTATCTTCTCCCTCCAAATTCACTTATATCCCCCGTTTTAAACCCCACAATTCTTGGACCTCTCCCACCTTACTTCAATAGTCACTTGTCTGCTAGTTTCAACTCACATACAGTCGCAGGATGCCGCTCCAGTCGTCGACAAGTCCATGTTCAACTGAGCGGAAAACGTCAGTTCATCCGTTTATCTTTGGCGTCCTCGATCCTTTCTAAGACTGGCATGCCTCAACCTGCGCACTTTGTCAAAGAATGGCCAACAGGCAACACTTGCCCGAACACTAGAGACCCTACTGATCGATATTAGCTACTTATCAGAAACCCTCCTCCAAAATCCAAGCTCCGTGCTTACATTGCGATCCTCCACATGCAACACTGGCGGCATTTTCTCTCTACGCTTGTCCGGAGATGAGGCAGCTTCAAATCCCGGTCAAACCAGTGTGGATATTGCTCTTAGCCCCAGGGCTGAGTCTGCCCTGATCGACTGGATCCCAATGAACAGCCGGATGTGCGCTGTCAGATTGAATGGCTCGCTCAGAGCCTCGAGGTCACGTGAGGACAAACGATGCATGTTTGTCATTGCGACCTAAGCGCCCGCAAACTGTAGCACTGATTCGTTTAAAGATGAATTCGATCATCAACTGGACGCGCTCGTCACTTGCTGAAAAAGTACGGATACCGTGGTTCGTGCTGGTGATCTGAACACTCAAGTCAAAAAATTGTCCAACATGGTGTAGGCTCTCCTAATGATAACTGTGAACGGTTGTTACACCTGTGTGAAGATGCTCGTCTCTTTCTTGTGAGCACCAGCTTCCGACACAGCACCCGCAGTAGAGTGACATGGCACCTACCTGCTTCGGACCAGTCGTGAAAGCAAATCGATCACATTGGGACAAGTTACCGCTAGAGAGGCTCCATCCAAAATTGGCGCTCGGCTTGGATCACGAGCGTAAGCTCCGAAAACGCACTTATGTGTGCCGACCTACGGGTGCGTTTCGGCGGACGTCCGCAAGGTCGCTGTGACCGCGTATACCCCAGCTAACTAGCGAAGTCAGGTGTTTTGATTGCGTATCGAAGTACGCTGACACCCGAGCCGAACACAGATGAAGATCACTGGTAGCATATCCGCCAGACGTTAGCAGCAGCATGTCTTCAAGCGGTAACTCAAATTGCCAACCTGGACGTTCGGTCTCTATACAGTCTCTGGAACTTCTGGCTGCTAGCTGACGCGTTCTGGCTGGAAGCAAAAAAATTGAGACTCGCAAAGCTCTAAGGGCGAAACTAAGTGCTAGCCTGAAGAGAGAACGCAAAACCTGGTAGTCTCCTCGTGCCCCGGAGATGGAAACAGTCGTTGCCCTTGGAAACCATCAGAAGTAATTTCGTCTGATACGAGAAAAGGGCAGCAGGAGACTTGTGCGACCATATGCGAAGAGAGTGGGTAGTCGATTCACAGTTTGTCAAAGCGCTTGGAATGTTGGGTCGAACACTTTGAGAAGCAGTTCAACCAGTCGGAGTTGACAGCTTCTCCATCGGCCAATGATCGTCCTATTCTCTGGGCCGTCACCCTGGATCCGGCTTCGCGCGTAGAAATCGAACGTGAGATCAGACGGTAGAAATTGTACAAGGCCGCCAGGGCAGATGAAATTCACCTAGCCCTCTACAAATTCGGCAACACTGCTCTCGTGGGCAATTAACATAACGTAATAGTGAATCAATGGAAGTTGGGGACTATCCCAACAAACTACTGCTCCGTTATAGTTCCGATTTTTAAGGAAGGCTCCCGTTTGTCACGCGACAGTCTGATCTCATTTGCCTCTACGGAACTTGCCTCTGTCGCCCTCCAGACTAACTGGCACCAGTGAAAGCCAGATGCGCGAGAAGCAGGCCGGGTTTCGTCGAAATCAAGGCTGTAATGACCACATCTTCACATTACGCCTGTTGTTGGGGCCCAACCACGTTTATTGGCGACCCACCATAGTCGTGTTCCTAAACATCAAAGGGGCTTTCGACTAGGTTGATCGATGTACCCTTGGGGATTGTCTAATGAGAAAAGGTGCGCTCGAAAAAGTATGTAAATGTCATAAGAGCGCTGTAGGCGCATAGTTTGCCGCTCTTCAATATCTCCAGCGGTGTGAGACA